TACAGTCATAAACTCTATCTATCAAAACTATCTTTTTTTTTTTTCTATTCTTAGAATCTCCATATATTTGCAAAAATAAGCCAACTACACATACAGAAGTTACAACAACATTTTACATGGAGTAGGATTCTTGGGAGGTATTCAAACACTGAAGCATATATTATAGAAATCATGATGATGATTATTTTGAAACAGAAGCATTGACAACAGACTATTTTTGTTAGCATAATTAAAAGACAACTAGATCACTATGGACCTCAAACTAATTGACGATCTCATCCAGCACCCTTAGAAAGATCTTAAACAGGGTTTCTGGAGCACTGAGTCCTAAAGAACTCCACAAGTGAGAGTCCTTGGGTTCAACTCTCCCTGCCCGCTTCTGTCAATTGCAACTGGAGTCACCCACAGAGAACTGAGGAGAATCATTGCAATCCAGTGCTATCCACCCCATACCCTGTTGATGGTTCAGAAGGATACCACGATCAATTGCTTTAAATGTTCAGAGGGATCAAGGAGAACTAGAACAGCCACACCACTCCCATCCCAGAGGTCAATGACAATTAGCACTGTCTCATTACTATATTCAGATCTGAAATCTGATTGAAATTGGTCAGAAGCCCAACCACCTTCTCAACAACCTCCCCTAAAAAGTAAAGTTGGAGACTTCCTTATCTAAGGCTGTCTTTCTAAAATTTGTCATGGGATGTTTTCATTGCTATCCATCTACACAAGGATATGCCAGCCAAATCCAGTACATTTTCAAGAGAGAAATGAGTGTTCTAATTTTGCAAAGTGTATAATATTCATTTTGCCCAATATTTTCCACTCACAATGGGGAAATAAAGGCAGAGGGGTATTATTTCTGGTCTAGTCAGTTTGAGGGTGGAGATACTGAGGATCATAAGAAGAGTGTTGGCATATCACAGGCTTCGTTGATCAACATCATAATTCTTGTTCTTCTGTACATTAGTCAAATGCTTTTAGAAGAGACAAAGAATAAAAGTAGATTTTATTTACAAGTTAATTTGTGTACTTTCGCCATCTGACATTCAAAGATGGACTGCCTATGAATACTGAAATTTGATTTAATTGATTTATAAAATAAAGTATACATTCATCTAAATCAGGGGTGGGGAACTATGGCCATGCTGCCTCTTCAAATTCTGGGATTTGAAGTACACAAATCACAAAGGAGCCATAGTTCTCCACCCCTGACCTAAATTGTTAGAATATATTCAAACTAGGACCACCAAAGAGGTTCCTTTTGTCCATCATTAAGGACAGAAGAGAAATATAATTTTGTCAGAAACTTGTTCCTATATCTACATTTTAAAACTTGTTAAGGATAACATCAGAGACTGAAGATTTTAGCGGGCACGGGGGTTGACTAAATGAGTTATTATACAACATTGGAAGGATTGTAGGAGGAGAGCTGTGTTACTCTATGTTGACAAAAAAATCAGAACAGGTCTGTTAGAACCTTTTCTAACACATTTTATTTAAAAGCAGAAACTTTCATGAACTGCAGCTCACTATTAGATATAATGAATAGGAAGACTGATGATAAGATTTAAATTGGGGGAAGGTGGAAAGAAAAATGGGGAAAAGGATAGGAAAATGGTTTTGCAGATACAAGTTACATATAAGGACAGATTACAAATAGCACCTTATTCATTAGCACCTGTAATTTGGATAATTTAGAACTGCGTCGCTTGCGGTCTGATCTAGGTATTGCATACAAAATTATACGTAGTAATGTTTTACCTGTAAATGACTTATTCTGTTTTAATCGCAATAATACAGGCACGAACAACCGCTTTAAACTCAATGTAAATCATTCTAAACTTGACTGTAAAAAATATGATTTCTGTAATAGAGTTGTCAAAGTCTGGAATGCCCTACCTGATTCAGTTGCCTCAGCTACAAATTTTCACAGTTTCAGTCACAAATGGACTTCCGTGGACCTCACTCCATATTAAGTGGTCGGTAGACGGGGCGTCCCCATCACTGTATTTTTATTCTCTTATTCTTGTTCTCATTTTTGTTTGACAAATTCCAATAAATAAATAAAAATAAATAATGATTTAAATATTTTCTTAATATTTGAAGTAGCCTTACAATTAAGCAATTATTGATGATTGATTGATTAAATGAAATGATTGAGTAAATTACCCCAAATGTTTACTTATTTTTAAATGTATATGCCGCCTATCTCACTGTCAAGGAACTCTTATTATTTAATTATTTGACAAAGCATCAACAAAGATGATTTAGCAATATGGCTACTTTTTCTAGAGTTGTTTTGTTTTTAACGTAATTTTTAGGCCTATGTCTCTGTTTTTTTAATTGTTTATCAATTTTGGAGTTGTGTTAATCTTTCAGTGTTGTTGCATGGTTTAAATTTTCCTTTTCTGAGTTAATTTAGCATAATAAAACACACAAACAAAAAAAGTGTTTGGAAATACAGCAATATACACATCCAACTTTAGGTAAAAACTAACTATATAGGGCAGCAATAGTAAATCAAGGTCACACAAAATATCAATTCCTTACCTGTAGAGTCCAGCAACATACAAGCAGTCCCTGGGGTTAAGACAAATTTCATTCCTAATTGTCTTTAACTCAAATTTGTTTTTATGATGGAACTTTTGCTTATAAACAGATTGCCTATTTATTACTAAAAATGCTGGATACAATTGTGCTTCCTCAAGCTCATGAAGACTGAAGCCACACCATTTTCTCAGGAACTGCTAAAATCACACAGCTCCAGTGGTTCCTGAAAGCATCATGTGGCTTCAATTACTTGTCGGCTTGAAGAAGGAGAATGCTGTCCACCATTTTTAGTAATAGGCCATTCGTACGTAAGGGTTGTCCTTTAATTAGATATTCTTAACCCAGGGACAGCCTGTATAAATAAATTATTTTTATTCAAGCAATGAGGACAGTTACTCATTACAACACAGTTTTAGGGTGGCTTGGTGAGCAATCTCCTGCCATGCAGAAAAATATGTGATTATCAATAGAAGAAAATATCTATAGCTCAGGATTGAACTGTGGATCCCTTGGCACTCTTTGAGCTTAATTGGTTTGCAGACATTTTATTATTTGACTAGAAGAATAGTGGGGTTTGATCTCTGTTTATATACAGTAGCTTCTCTTGTCAGTGTTGATCAGCGTGTAATGTTTTCCCTTGGAAGTTCCTTGATTAAGCTGTTCTTTATTGCTTGTTTGTCTGAGTTGGTAGTTCCTTAATTAGGTTATTGTTATGAAGATGTTAAGGCTAAGGTAATATCTGCAAACAAACAACAGAGCTTAGAGAGCACCAAGGTCTCCACATGTGATACTGGCTCATCACAGTTATCTTGCAAATTTCTTATCAAATTCTGCTATGAAACATTCTTAAAGGAAGTGACAGGAATGTCAAAAACCATATTAGTAAAAAGATTATATCCCATCACAAGACATAGTACCAGTACTATCATTATTCCAATAAGACAAGGTACAGGAGGAGCTTTATATCTAAACTTATTTTTTTTGGTCATGGTTTGAGTGTATATTTGAGTGCACTTCCACATTACAGGGGCTGCACCAGGTGCCACATGATTTCTGACTCTAATTTAAGGAGTTCCTTTCTTCCTATAAAACCCTTCATGACAGAATGAAAGAATGAACAAATAAATGGATGAATGAATTCGATCAAGTTTTTTTTAAAAAAAAATACATTCTTATAGCGAGTTTTGATTATGTGTACATTATTTAAAATTAATGATGGAATTAAAAGGCCAATTAAAGGAAAAATGGTAATTTGTTGGCCAGGAAATACGAATTACCTATAAATGTCAGAATTGGGAGGAAGAAGATAAACAAAGTATCAAGAAAATTTTCAAGCAATACAATAAAAAAATTGTAGCTATTTTTTGACATAATTTTTAAGGGTCCTTTTTTCTGTTTTTTGAAGGTATATTATTTTGTAAAAACCACTGCATCTATGTGTACTTTTCTTCCATTAATTTAATATAATAAAATTAAAAACAATTTTCTCCAGATAAGTGAGGGCATTCAGTAATTGCAGCTTTAACTACTGCTCACTGAAAATGGTAGAGCTCCTAATTTAATCATTGGTTTTCTTGTCTGTAATAGGTCACTATAAACCATGACCTCAAAGAGCAGTAATATCTATTCATTATCTACTGATAATGATATAGTTCAGGATATAAAAAGTAGACTAGAACTTTTCAGTGGGATCCTATGCACAATAGGATCCTGCTTTGTTGAGACCAAATGAGGATAGTAAATAAGATTCTATGTCATGTTGTAATTCAGGGAATTATGATCTGGAATGTCATTAACTCATTAAAGCAATACTTTCCAACATGACAGTCTCCCAACATTGATGGGACGCAATTTCCATTCCCTACAGTCATCTTGCCCATGCTGACAGAGGTTATGGGGACCGCAGTCTGATATCTCTGAAAGCTGCCATAAAGCTGAATTAAATATAGAAAGCACTTACCCATATTGCTGAAGAAAAATGAAAAAGAGCAGGTGGGTTAAATAGCAGTATGAAGGAGAAAAATACTAAACTGCTGAGGAAGCAATCCTGCCAAAAAGTTTTTAATAATATTAAAAAGAAAAGACATGCCAAGAAGTTTTTTTAAAAAACCAAAGAACAGCACAACTTATGCATTCATCTCCATATAAACCAGTACAATCAACTCTTGCCCTTCACTTATAACTAAAGATTAGCATTTTACTATACTTCCTTTTTCTCAAAGCAATTTTAATCTACATCTAACATAACATTACCCACATTTATTTTCAATTTATGAAACAAAATTAATTTTTGCTAAAATTTCTGATTGTTAAAAATCCTCTGACCTCCAACAGAGGAAAAATGCATCACACATGGGCTCAGTCAGAAGTATTTTCCAATCTACACTGCCCCCTTCACTTTGCCCAACAATATCCAAAGGCAATCCCCTTTGCCTCCCTCAAAGCACCTCATTTTAGATGCCGCCATGGACCTTCTTCAGTATTTTCTGGGAAGAAACCTGGAGAACTGCTACTTGCTCTTCCAAATTTCTCAAATTGATGCAGGTAGTAGGCAGTCTTTTTCAGCTGTATCTGCCCTCTCTTGTTAGAAGATTAAGATGTCCTTAACTGCAAGGGAAACTCTTCTCTTCTCCTTTACAATTGCTTGTACAAACATCCAAAGTCTGTACAGTAATAAAGTCTCACAGTGGCTGTGCAAGGCAGACGTTCAGCATCCCCTAAGCAGTGCAGCATGTGCCTTACGTAGAGAGTCATGGGTGGCCAAGAAACCTACTTTCAAAATAGGAAGGAAAAATCCCAGTGGGATACTTTTTTAAATGAAGTTCTAGTTTCTTGTTTTGGCCCACATAAGTCTAGCTTTTCCATACTATCCAAACACATATTAAGAAGAATGTAAGTCATAGAGCTATAACTGAATTCGCTTTTCAACTTTTGAAGAAGTTCAAAGCCTTTATTGTCATTGTACATCATGTATACAACGAAATTGGTTTAGCCTCTACTGGTGCAGTCCATACAAGAATACAAGACAACATGAATTATATAAGAATAATCCTTATATAATTAAGGAAAAAAACTAGTCATACATTTTCATATGTATGTCATATTCTGTGCAACATGTATATTACTCTGGTGTGTAATCTTATATCATGGTACTGTATATGCATATTACACATTACACTTGCACCAGTGAAATTCATCATATTAATCTGTTTATGGTGCTATATTGTGTTTAGGAGTCTGACAGCCCATGGGTAGAAGCTGTTTTTAAACCGGTTTGTCCGGCTGGCTATACTTCTGTGTCTTCTGCCCGATGGTAAAAGTTAAAAGAGACACTGGCCAGAGTGTGAATCATCCCTAAGTATCTTCCTTACTCTGCTGAAACAGCAAGACTTGGCGATGTTATCCAGTGGTGTTAGGGGGCAACCAATGGTTTCTTGTGCCGAATTAATCACTCTGTAGTGCCTTCCTGTCCGTGGCTGTTAAACCAGCATACAATACTATTATACAGTATGTGAGATCACTTTCTATTGTGGACCGATAGAAAGAAGTCATCAGCCATTGTTCCACCTGATTTTTCCGCAGCACTCTAAGGAAATGAAGTCTCTGTTGAGCCTTACTAACCATCAGGGACGTGTTGTTTTTTTCAGGTGAGGAATGAGCACTCCCAAGAATTTAAAAGAGGAAACCCTCTCCAAATGGCTCCCCCTTGATATACAGTAGGGCAGGTTCCTCTTTTTTCTTCCGGAAATCCAGCACCTTCTTTGATTTGCTAGTGTTTAGATGTACCGCACTTTTCAGAATATAAGACACACTTTTTCCCTCCTAAAAGAGGCTGAAAATTTGGGTGCATCTTATATTTAATTTAATTTAATTTAATTTAATTAATTCAATTTATATGCCGCCCCTCTCTGAAGACTCAGGGCAGCTATATGCCGAAAGTAAACCCTCCCACCCGCTGGCCCCCACCCTTCGGCCTCCGTGCATCCTCTTCCTGACTGCAGAGATTGCCACCAACAATGGCTTGTGTTTTGGGGCTCCTTGCATCACATTTTCAGCCTTCAAATGCTCCTTTTGAGAGCCCTTCAAGGCTGCAGGGATCACCAAAGCACATTGCCACTGATCGCCACCCAAAAACATGACACATTTTGAGGCTGAAAACACGATGCGCGGTGTCCAAAATGGCTACCCGGAACAGCTGCTGCCTTCTCTTACCTCTTCTGCAATTCACCTGCTTTAGTCACTGGAGCTCCCTCCAACGATCAGCTGTGCTTTTGAAGCTGTTTTTTAGCCCCAACCAGCCCCAATCTCAAAACCAGTGAGCGAACTAATGTGCTGAAACTGATGCCCCAACCAGCCCCAACCTCAAAACCAGCGAGCAAACTAATGTGCTGAATCTGACCAGGCTAAGGACTAGACAGATGAAAAAGGCAGAATTTTTTTCCCCTATTTCCTCTCCAAAAACTAAGGTGGGTTACTCTGGTAGATCTTATACTCCGAAAAATACAGGTAAGTTGTTTTTGGAACACCATGTGGACTTCTTCCCTGTATGCTGATTCGAACTTGGATTTATCCCTAAAGGGACTGAATCAGAAAAGAATCAGAAGTGTGAATTCTATGTTGTGTTTGTTAAACTGTGCATGTCCGTTTCTTTAAAAAAAATCACTGCAATGACATAGTGCACAGAACATTTACTGTTTCTACAACGATCAAGGGGTTGCAAGAAGATCTATTTCCAAAGAATCCTTGAACCCAATCCTAAAAGGTTAGTCAAGCAACAGAGTCTAAAACACAACACCCATCTCATCAATATTTCATTTGTTAAATTCCCTGTTAAAACCCAGTTTGCACTACAGTTATGGGCAATCCGCAGTCATGTTATTTAGTCCACATTTTAATAAAACATATGCTAAATAAAAAGAAACCTTTTAAAACATACTATATTGCATCAAAATAGCTTTCTGCTCTTATGAAAAAGGCAAATTTATATTAATCATAGCACTATAAAGAAGCAATACATATTTTTACAACCTGTATGTTTCATAAAAACCCTGTATCTAAGGAAAGATAATGTCTTTTTTATTTCAGTGATTTGAAGCTATAAACATTTTAGCAAATTGTTACAGTGAAGCAGGAGTCATTCTTAGCTACAATTTGCACTTCAGTTAACAGCCCAATAGTGAAGTTGAGTCTTCTACCAGTATTTTGTGCACCACAGAGACGAAAGAAGCATTTCATGCTGGTGTGTTGTTATAAATCCTTTTATCCTTATAGAAACCTCCTCAGGTGCCATTTTTGAGAGTGGCATATTACATGTTCTCAGGTGCTACATAAAACTTTGTTACCTGTAATGGAAACTGTGTTTCTTTCCCTACTGATTTCCAGTATTACATTTCTCTTCACTACCGATGATCCCAAATATTGCCTGCACGACAACATTTAAATCAAACATCAAAAACATTTTTGGTTTTGGCAAACAAAACTTAACTAGACAAGTACACCAACAATTTTTCCTCTTCTCTTGGTTTGGAAGAAAAGTCTAGTAAACTACTATCTGCCGAAGTCTTAGTCACAACTGCTGTTCTGTCATTGAGATATCATTCAATAAATGTATGGAATGTGTTAAATGTCTATATTATCTTCCTTACCCTTTGGAGGAATTTTCATAGTGATCTTAATGTAGGATAAGGGGAGAAATTTATTATTTTTCAGATTACAAGAGATAACATTTTTTGAAACATTTGGAATATTCAAAGTATGCCATGACCACTTATAAAATGTCTTCCTTGGGGAAAGTTTGCCAGCTGACAGAATGGCTGCCATAATAGGCATGGACAGTCATAAGTCAGTTTACCAGGTGACAGAGTAGTAGTAGTAGGTGACAGAGTAGTACGATTGGCCTGCGTCCCCCTCTCTAACTTCCCAAATGCATCCTATATTTTGGGGAATAACAGTACTGGAGGTTACCATAGTGTAACCATATTAAATAAAGTTAGATCCACAAAGAATTAAACTGTAATACATCCGTTAGAATGTAATTGCCATAAGATTTCCCTTTACTAATATACCATATAGGGGTTTTATTGTACCCAAGCAGTTCCCAGCCAGATGTAACTCTTGACAGCTGGCATTCATCTAAGAGGTGTACTGTAAGGATTCCTACTGTTATCTGTAAAGTAGTTATGAAGAATGAGGTTAAAATAATTCTCTTTAATGATAAGAACACTTTGAAGATTAGCAAAGCTGAGAATGTATTTTTTTTTTATCTGAAGTCCACATATTTCAAAGCACGGTAAAAAGCACTTTAATGTGAAAGCACTCTTTTTTTAAGAATGTGAACAATAAAGGACAAAAATAGTAGGTTTCTTCTTCAGCCTCTATCTAATAGTGGGGAAAGGGGGCAAAATATCTTCTAAAAATTATCAGACAGGTTACCTATGTCAGGGTGGATAAAAATCAATGATTTTTTTTAAAAAAAATCAAAAAAATTGGATTTTTTTTATTTAAATCGGATTTTTTTATTTAAATCAGATTTTTTTTATTTTTATTGAATTTATTTTAATAAAAAACTTTGGGGGTAAAAATCTATCGTAAGATAGTTTTCTATTTAAGATACATAAATAATTTAGTTTATTCAGCATGAAATGGAGCTTAGTTATGTAGCATGAGGCTGTATATTCTGCAACACTTGGACTATCGGTGAGTCAACAGCAGGTCAAAGGAGTGGCAGAGATGACAGTTGCTCTTTAAAAATTATGATTTAAATTGAGCTGATTTAAATCAAGTCTTTTTACTAGTGATTTAAATCATGATTTAAATCATGATTTAAATCAACTTGATTTAAATCAAATCCACCCTGCTATGTGTCATCCCTTACCTTTTGCAAAAACAAAGAAACAAACAAAAACACACAGTGTAAATTGTGCAAATCACAGATGGCCTCAAGCTGAAGGGAAGCCTTCAGGGACAGGATAGACCCAATTAACAAACATTAGTTTATAATCACCATATGGATAAAAAGAATTGTTATACTTCATAGTCTCAAAAGGTTTTATGGGGTGGGGAGTGGAATGAGCAAGGTTTGAGCAAACCCTGATTCAACCTCTACAGAGAAAATGTGCGTATAAATTCAACAGCACTTTTATTGGCTATAAATAGCTGAGTTTCAGTAAGTTTTCTGCATTTGTGATAAAGCAATCAGAAAAATTCATCAAGCAAAAATATGCCTTCAGTAAAAATACATATTGTCCTGAATTTAATCAATCCTAAGGAAAGAATATCATCGTTTCCACACATAATACATCTGCAAAATTTATTTCATGGGGTATTTGAGCAAAAAGGAAAAAAAAGGAAAAGGACGATTTATTCTTGTCGCTCTTGGCAAAAAACGTGAGCATAACATTCATCTATAAGCTTGGTTGAAGTTATGCTTCCAAATACGATGAAGTGAGACAGTGTGTTAATCGCTATGGATACATTGGCTTTCGTAAGTCTGCAGCACACCTACTGTCCACGGATCCTAAAAATTGCACCCAATTAGCTAGGCCATTAATAAAACAATCACAATCTATTTAGTTGCAATAATCTGAATTTCCCAGAATTAGAATATTCATCTGCCGTTTCTCATTTTTTTAAAAAAAAAAAAAATCCAATATTTCAAAAAGAAAAAAAATCAAGTGGTTTTCAGATCAAACTATCACAATAATTTTTAAAA